CACCTCACACCTCACACCTCACACCTCACACCTCACACCTCACCTCACACCTCACCTGGCAGCCTTTGGCTTGTGGTACTCATGTGAACCATTTCTCTCCCCCCCCCCAATACACCGGACTTACAATGCAACCTACAACCTTGACTATATGTGCTGGGAAAAGTGCCTGGCTGCAAAACTATGGTGTCATGTCATAATCATACTTTCAGTTGGAATTTATATGCAGGAATATTGATATCTTCATGTCTTAATAGCTCAACTGTTTTCCTGAAAAGACTAAGGGTGGGTAGGATACTTTTCCCCATGTATAGACTGAAGTTGAGAGAATGTTTGTTACTGCTGTTGACTGAATTATTATTTTTGGACTCTGCTACTACTTGGCAGGAGGGAACAATGACTGGCTCATGGAGGTCCATGCCTATTCTCGGTGCTGTGAAGCTAACAGGAGTTATGATGATCAGATTGAAGAATTCAAGATGCTTGGCGAGGATTGGAAAGGGGAAATGTGCCATGTGGAAGAGCTCTTAAATGCAAAACCAGTTCTGAAACACTGAAATTAGGTACCATAACACTTTTTAAGATGATCATACAGATGCAAAAATGTCTTATTATATTCTCTTTCTCTTCCTACCCAGGGGTTGGTAGGTGGATTTTTAATATAACACTGAACACATTTTATGGCATGCCAGCACTTGAATCAGAAATATCTGTAAGTATGGATCTGTAATTATGGCCACTGATTTTTCAGCTCGGCAACCAAGGGGTTGACAACAAAACTCAACAGATGCTGGAGCAAACTTGTTGGAAAGAGAACCTGCAAGATTTTCTTGTAGGTTCCATGAGGCAAAATATTAATGGGAATGATCCCGGTAAGCTAAGAACCCAGACAATCTGGATTTTTCACAGTTCACAACTATTGTCCAATTCCATTGAAATAAGGGAAGGAGGATGGAAAATATGGGCAAAACTGCACGATAGCCACTCACTGTATAGTTTGCATGTCCTGCTAATTTTCCCAGAATACTCTTCCCTTACTACACACTAATTGAGAGTGTAAAGTCAATGTGATCATTACAAATGTGAAGGAAAAATATTGTCATAGAATCTAGAGGTCAAAAATTGAATATGATCCAAGAACCATATGATCATGTCATATCTCAATGGACATGAGCTGGATTTTGAGAAAAATAAGTCCCATCTTTGAGAAAACTCTACCCACTTCCTCTGTGCTTACAGGTACAATGTTTTCTTGCCTTCTCTTGTAAGGAAAAGCACACTTAAAAAAAAAGCACAGCAGATCCAGCAGATCTAAGAGATCTTCTATATAGAACCTCTCTCAAATTTCTCCAGGGAAAAGGCCACTCACCATATTGCTAGTTAGGATGGCAGGATCAGGGAGCCCAAGAGGAGGAGGAGGTGGCAGAGGTGGAGCTATAGGAGGTGGTAGAAGGGGCGATCCTCTTCTAGGCCACTGAAGCTTCCTCCTCTCAGTATTGTGTCTCAGCCTACCAATCTCAGCATGTAGCTGAGCCATTTCTGCCATGTGTGTTTGCTGCAACTTGTCCAGCTCTAAGTCCAAAGAACCTAATGGAAAGGAAGAAAGAACACACAAAAGCTCATTAATATAAAGTTGTATCCAGTGAGAGAACTTCCAAATGCTAATAAAGAATGTAGAGATGGCTGGTCTAATTGGAGCACGTGGGTTAAAAATATGAAATGAATAGATAAAATCCTTAGAAAATGTCAAAGCTTACCCATTTGGTGCTATAGCCTTTCACCAAAGTTAGTTCATGGCCCCATTCCATTTTTGCTGGGTTGGCACCAACTAACATGGTATAGCTGCATTTTCAAAAGGACAAAGTTTCTCCAATTTACAGGTAATAATAAACTAACCCCCCCCCCCCAAATCCTGCTGTGCTGCCTCATTGTGGCGGTGGCGTGTTTCTGGGAGGCATGAATGAAGAATGCCAGGAGTGAATGCCGAGAGTATATAATCCCAGCAGAGTCTAACCCCAGGCATGAAGGTCATCCCAGCTGCCCCGCTAAAGCAAGCAGGCCCCTATACTGGGCAGCAGCTATATAAGATGTTAGAGACGGAAGATCACTTTAGTGTCAATGGCAAAGGCATCATTTGATACTGCGTGGGAGAAAACAATGGAAAACTACTGTATTTTACCAAGAAAACCACATGGATAGAAAATGTTGGGAACAGATCCTCCTGGAGAAAATCAGTTTATGTGGTCGGTAAGAGTTGATACCAACTTGATGGCACAAAATCGATCAGTCAATCGGCAAACTAATCAGGCTGATGAGCACTGGAAATTATTGCAAAGACCTTTAAAAGGCTATCTTTAATTGGGTGGATAGTCAGCTAAATGGCAAACAGAATCTAGTTTAAATAAGTGTAAAGTAATGCACATTAGGGCACCTCCCCGCCTCCCAACCTCCTGTCTACAACTGATGGATTCTGAGCTGTCTGTAACTAACTAGCAAAAAGATCTTGGGGTCATAGCAGGTAGCTCAATGAAGATGTGCAGAAGCTGTGGAAAAGGTAAATGCTAGGGATTATTATAAAAGAGACTGAAAATAAATCTCCCCCCGCCCCCCGGTAATGCACTTATACAAATCTATGGCATATTTGTACTTGAAATATATGTACAGTTTTGATTTCCACACTTGAACAATAATATAATAAATGTGAGAAATAGCAGAACAGATCCACCAGATTGATTGAGAGGCTTGTACTCTTCTGAAAAAAAGCTAGAACATTTGGGATCTTTAGCTTAGGAAAAAGGTGATTGATATGGACATGACTAAAACAAATAAATCTTGCATGGCATAAAGGAAGTGAATGAAGACAAGTTTTTCTGTCTCTGAAAACACAGAAACAAGGAGTACTGACAAAAACAATGATACAGATTGGCAGGAAATTTAGAAAAAACAAACACTGTAAACACAAAAAAGGCACTCTTTCACACAGTGCATAATTAACCTGTGGAATTCATTACCACAAGACCCATTAAATTGGATGGCTTTAAAGAGGGATTGGATAAATTAATGGAGAGCAGCTCTCTTAAGGGTTTGAAGCAGTGAAGGCTCAATGTTACCTCGCTCAGTGTACCCTGCTTTGCCTCTCTCCTCCTCCCATTTTATGTGTGGACAGAACCCCTGTTTTGCTTTAAGGCAGATTGGACATGCAGTCAACATTTCTCTAAGCTAGCATATTTTAACTTGGCTCCCACACTTTACTGCTGCCATGTGGTAGCTGCAAACTATAAACCAAAACCTCTAAGTATAAAGTGACTTCCTAACGCTTGTGAAAGCAATTTGCCCTTCAGCATGTTGGGACTAGTTTGAAATGCAGGCTTTGTAGCCACTATCTTTGGCTCAGTTAAGAAAATAGGCTATGAACCCTACCATTTTCCATTCTCCTTCTGTCCTTCAGAATTTTCATTTTTAATATCTCATCTTCCAGACGTTGATTCTCTAGCTCAATGGACAAGAGCTCTGCATCCAAAGTCTTTGAGTTGGGACTACCTTCATATTCTGCAAAGATAGGAAGGAGAATCAATCAGAACCAAAGACACACAGAAGTTGTGACAGAGGAAAGAAGCATTTGCTAAGATTTCTAGATTTACAGGACCTATCAATAGTTCTGTGGCACCTTAAAGATTCATACATCCATAATAAATGAGCTTTCATGAGCAAGACCATACTGTCCAGTAGAAGACAATTTCCTCATAGACTGAGTTCGTACTTCACACTAATCTTACTGTGATTTATTTGGTTTTGGCTTATCATCTTGTGCGAACCCAGTCACTGAAGATTATAAGTTATAGTTTAAAGTTTAGCATGTGGTGTGAATCTAGCCATTGTCTGTGAATAGTAACACTTTACTGAGCTCAAGAAGGATGGAAACATTCTTGGTTTAAGTGTACAAGGAACAACATCCAAATCTGGGGAAAAGTTGATCGGGAAAACATAGCTCACTCTTCTTTCTACCCCTCTGTTCAGGCTTTGTGACATTTTTTTCCAGTGCTGTGGCCTCCAGCTGTAGTTCATACATCTGATGGAGGATGTTGTGGTCACTGCCTCCACTCTGCAGGTAAGTCAGGTACAGCATCCTGCCAGGAATATGAACAGTTATCATCAAGTGTGTTACAATTTATCTCCTGACAAGTCTATATCTTTAATAGTTGCATTCCAAAAAAATGCAACTTTTCCTGGCATGGAGATAATTTGAAGGAAAAGGATGCATTTGTTGAGTTATTACATTTCATGCAGCTGCTATATAACCATAGGATTTTGGATAATTTAGTGGTCCCACTGGGAGGGGAGTTAAGTCTTCTCGAATTAGTAAAAAGTTTGTCTTTTCAGTCCCTGGAAACCACCTTTTGTGTAGAGAACCAACTTAGACCATTTTCTCACTAGCAATTTATAATATTTTATATTATTATCCAGCCATCATCATGTCAAGGAAACTTGAAAAGTACAGGTTTTATATTGCCACCAACACTAGTTGGGTGATGCTAGAGGAAATGGCCTTAACAGTTGCAGATACACTGAAGCAATGAGCATGAAACTGAGCAAACTCAGGGAGGCAGTGAAGGACAGGAAGGCCTGGCGCAATATGGTTCACAGGGTCACGAAGAGTCGGACACAACTTAACAACTGAACAACAACAACAACAAAGTGGTGGGAAAGTTTTATAGGCAGAAACAATTAGAGATATAATAATTCCTATTAATTCTAAGTTTACAGAAGCTATTACACTACACGTTCTTACAACTCTGTCTTCCAACTCACTGTATCTCTGAAGAGAGGGGCCCAACAGCTGCTGGAAACACCATAGACTTGAAGATGGCATTCTCGTCCATTTTATTTACAGTGCTATCTATCTTTCTATTGGTGGCAGAATCCAGCTTCCTTCTAAAAATGAAAAAAGGGGGCGTTAGGTATTGTACAAGGGTCTTCTTGCTTTCTCCAGTTGTTGCTGATGCTTACTTATTTTCTCAAGCACACTACAATGCTCACATTATAGATGGCCACAGAAGTCTTACTAATATGATCTGGACTACCTTTGATGTCCCACACAGTATACACTAAAACTCTTGTCATATGAATCCTGAAAAAAATGTGTTTGTTGCCAGAGTTCTCTGTCTTTGAGTCTTACCTGCTCTCTTTTGCTACCTGCAGAAGTTCTACCTGTTCCCTCAGTGCATTCAAAGTCAACTGGTTCTTTTCTTCCTGGGTATTCAGCTCCATCAACAACTGTTCTATCTGAGATGTAGACGAATTCCCTAATTTCAGCTCTGACAGGCGTCTACGAATCTCTAGGTAAATACAAAATGGAACAAATTGTACTGGAACAACTGGATCAATTAACTTATGGTTTTGGAATCATATCTGTTTACAATAGAAGTATGCCATTTTGCACTAATAGTGTATTAGAATCTTAACTGATTCAGCTTAGGAACACTTTATACATTCTTGGTTAATATGTACTTCTCTGGCCTGTTTGTCAGAAGCAGTAGATCAGAGATATATACCTATGTCTTAATCATACTACTAAACACTGTAAGTGATAATTCAAATGATAAAATAGTTCTCCATAAAGAAGACCACAGAAATAGAATCTGACATGCTAGGGAAAAAGTCAGATTTGAACTTTTCTCCCCAAAATTATAATTTATACATGTAGAGATAATTTGTTGCCTTTGGATTGAACAGCTCTGAGATACCACATCCAGAGCTGCTGTTGGTGAGAACCAGGTCTCATCTGTCTTTTGAGCTGGGAAATCCCATACCTAAAATATCAGCTACCAGCACCACTGAGATGATATTCTTTCACTAATTGCTTCCTTCTCTTATCTGGTATACGTAGCATAATGACCCTCGTGTGCTAGTCTCAGATCTTCTTGGGTGAGTAAAAGCCTATTTATCCATCTTTGCTGCTTTGTTCTCCAATTCAGGTACCTCCTTAATCTGAACTAGGAACAAAAGGCACTTACACAGAAGAGTGACAATTCAGCAGAAGCGCTAATGTTCAACTTACCATCTTTTTGCTGTTCCAGGTGTTGGTTTCTAGCTTGGATTTCAGCCAATTGGCGTTCATGTGCTTCCACCATTTGCCTTTGACGCTGACTGTATTCTTGCTGGTGAAGTATTTGGTTTTCATTCTAAGAGTCAAGGAAAGACATCAGATTCAAATAGCTGTTTCTCCTACAGCAAGGGCAAGAAATTGTAGTCCTCCAAAGGTAAATGCTGAACTATAAGTTCCAACATCCATCAACACTGGTCACTCACGCTGGATGGAACATCTAGGAATTATAATGCAGCAACATCTGAAGGATTATACTGCCATCTGATACCTAATAGTAACATTATTCAGTTATTCAGTATTATTCATTGTGTTACAGGGCAAGCTAATTGTCAAACTCAGAAAGGGGAGGGGGAGCTCAACATGTTATCTCAGCATGCATTGAAAACCTGTCCCTATTTATTTTATTAGTAAATTTATGCTCTGCTCTTTCTGTTTATCCCAACACTCAAAGCGTCTTACAACAATAAAAAATACAAAGAGTAAACTATACTGTAACCAAATTAATGCAATTACAATCAATGTCAATATTAAAAATCAATAATTAAAATAATTAGCAGTTAATTGCTAGGCAAGGAAGGTGCATTTTCCTAAATACTGAAAGGGTAAGAGCCAAACACACCTTCCTGTTCAGTGTAGAGTACCAGATTAGAGGTGAGAGCATCTGATACACTGTCATTCTGTTCTTAGTTCCTACCATGCTTGGTGAAGAAACAGCCATTACAAAGAAATGTTAATCACATCAGAATGTATGCTATACATCTGTCTCCTGGACAAATGTGTGCCCACTTGAATGTTCAGGTGGGCACACATGCAACCCAGATCTTCCCAGTGGTAGATCAATAGGTGAGGCATTCCCTTCTACCACATTGTACTTAATTCTTTCAGTACAGCCTGTTCAAGGTTCTGATTATTTTTTTAATCTTCACTGCAGCCTTAAGAAAGCAAATGCATTCTGTGATTCAAAGAATCACTTACTTTATGTATCTCAGGATTTTTTAATATTCCTCTTTAAGGTTACTTTAATTCTTCTTTACAATTACTTCACAAGGCCTGGATGTAAAAAAGGCTTGTTCATATTTCAAATTATACATTTTATGACAGACTTTTGACTCTTTTGATTTGTGTACAAGAGACATTTTATTTCCCATTTTTGCACATGCTATTTAAAAAATTATACATTTCTGTTGCAAGGTGGTTATGGCATTTTCTGAATGAAGTATAATATTTTGCTTCTTGGATAAATGTGATATTTTGTATGAAGTATTCCTCCATACAGTTCTGGCAATTTTAAGCATATCACTATAATCTAAAATTAAAATAGCAGTTTATGTTTAGCTGAAGCCTCAGCATACACTGAAGCCTCAGCATACACTGAAGCCATGGTGAGTATTCTTAATACTTACAAAAGTGAGTTTGGAGTAATTCCCCAAGTAACCAGAACAAAATGTTATGTGAATTATGGTTCTGTATTACACAGTTAATTATAAAGATATCAACTATATCTTTTCTTAATCTTACTAAATGACTCAGCAATAATCTTAGTGCAAATCACAAGAAAACATTAAAGACAAGCAATGGAAAGGGCCTTTTGGGGGAGGGAGCAACATTCTGGGTGCTCTCCCAAAAGAACCAGGCTTCATATTATGCAGAAAACTTGCCACGAATCTTTTAGTACTGGATAGAGTACTTGGAAAACTACCGTTCCTCTAACACTGTATGTGTAGGACAATCAGATCTGGGACCGTACCATCAGCGAAAAGATTATCAACTGTGAGAAGCTAATGGGCAGATCTGGGTACTTTATAGCCAGTGTAAAGTGTAGCATGTTATCAAATTTTGACTTACCCAGTCAATGAGTCACACCTCTGTCCTTACACTTGATGCTGTAGATCGGCCACTTTATACATAAACAAAAAAGTTCCTTTTATTCTGAAGGGGAAGGGTGGCAAGATAGGCAGTGGCCAAGTGTCAAGATATGGAGCAAACTTGAACATGGTTAACTTTTAATATTTTGTGGTAATGGGCTCCCACAAGTGCATAAGCAGATATATATAATATTTAAACACCATAAAACAGTGTACAACTTTCTCTAGGTCAGGGGATGAACTTTTGAATGTCTAGGACTGCATTCTAAAGTGAGAAATTTGATTTAATTTGATTTACATTTTAATTAAATTAAAATTATATATTGGTATTACAATTATTTCTCAGCAATATATTAAATAATTTTCCTTTTCTGTTACAATAAGAATTGTAATTTAGTGACAACTTAGACTGTAGCCCTGGACTAAGAAAGCATGAAAGCAGCACTGCATAGATTTTTCTGTGTCTGTGTCTGTGTTTATGCATGTGTGTGTGGTGTTAAATATCTTTTCAGCTCATAAAAGATGTTAAAATTCCTCATATTCATTTACCCCTACCTGGAGTGTCCGAAATGTAGGAAGCGTGCCTTCGAGTGATATCCTCAATTTGTGGAACTGTGAAGCAGAAAAATTACTTAATAACATACTCCCTTTCTAAGGGTTGGTTAAAACTGCTAATTCACTACTGTATCAAGATTCGGACTTGAACACTATTAACTTAAGTTAGCAAGGAATATAACGTAGTAAGAGTATTTAGGAGAAATCTGAACTGGATGTTGGACATTTGAGATGCTAAAATTAGCCAAAAGCGAAAGTACTGTTTCAAAATGTCTAAATTCTAAACCAATGGTTAATTACTCTGATAGAGTTTATGAGGTGATAGGAGCAGAGCCATCTATGGGAAAGACAAAGGTTTACCTCTTCAGTCAGTTTCTTCAAGGCCTGGTTGTTTGAAACGCTTCCACCATGGTCAAAGCTACTAACGTTGTAGACTTGTTGCTCGTGTTCAGGTTCCCCATTTCCCTTGCCATGTCTGAAATGGTGTCTTTTTGGCTTTGACACTTGAAGCTGATGATGTTGGTCCATGAGATACCAGCAACCAAGATAGAAAATAAATCAATACTGTATGACCAAGGTACATATTCAAGGATGCTGGAATGTCTTTTCCCCTAGATATGTCAGCTATAGCTCCCATAATTGCCAGCCAGCAGTAGTCATTCTGTACTATTTTCAAGAGAAAAAGGAACTATTTTGTGAGAAAAAATTAGAAAGTTTGTCTACTACTACTACTAGAATAAACAAATACATGCATCTAATGTTTTGCTAATAAGGTTGCAATAAAGGAGCAGTGGATGAAATTCAGTTATGCAAGTATCATAGACAGCTTATAAATGGTGCCATTAAGTACAGCCCTGTATGAGCAATACTACAATTCTCCCCCATTCCCGTGCCAGGTTTTCTTCTAAACATTTAAAATGCTTATTTTACTTGATGACAAACTTAGCATTCCTATACTGCATGGTTGAAACATATAAGCACTTCCATGGGTCTCTCCATTGGCTGTTCCTTTGGAGACCCTCAAGTGGAAATTCTGGGCCCCTAGAATGAAGGGTTTTACAGGAGTAGCTATGGCTTCCAAGAAAATCCCAAATTAAAACCAAGTTAATTCATTGATTATTCTTAATACTGTGATAAAGGAGAGAGGGAACGGGTAGAGAATATCAGCAGACTACAAGGAGCATAGTTGTCCCCAACAGAAGGAAAAACAAGAACTTGTTTTCATGTAGGCTATTCAGCATAAAAACAAAACTATAAACAATCTTCTCTCCTACTAGTCTATCAGAAAAAGAAGTTGGTATAAAGTGCAGGATCATTACCAAACCCATGTGCTGTTTATTGGAACACAACAATCACAGGAAATAATTTTTTAAAAGTGTATTTTTCTATATGTTGGCAAACATATCTATTCCTGGAGTTGTCAATACAGAGATAAGCAACCTCCTGCTCTCATCTTTAGACCCATCAAAGTAACCTTCAAAATAATTTTTATTAATGAAAATAAAGTTGCCCTTTTACCGTGCTGTCTGCCATTTCTGTTTTCTTGGGCTCTTTCCCTTTACGCTGTGCTTGCCTGTTCTGGTATTTTACATCCATTGGCATTTCTCGTCCGATGCAGAATTTTTCCATGTGCTTCTCTAGCAGTCGTCTGGAGCGGAACCCCATCTCACAATTAGGACAGTGGGAAAATGCTATATCTGTCATTTTGAAAAGTGTTTCCAGATATTTACAAAGGGTTATATTTATCAATATCTGAAAGGTACTGGCTAGTCATCTTTCCTTGTAGGAAAGGACTATAGTATCATTTGGAGTTTTCAGTTGCTATGCTGGTAGTTATGGGGTGTAACCATCCTGACAAAATAATAGAGGAAGATTGCATACAGTGACTGGGAGTATCACCATGCCAGTGACTGCTGTTTATGTTTGTAATTACCAGGGTTACAATGAGTAGTATCTAGATCCCAGCCTAGTATCCTTTGGCCAAGCTGGCTGGAATTCTAGGAGGTGCAGTTCCAGCATGCCTGAAAGTTATTAGTTTGGGGTGGGCTGACTCAGGAATTTGTAAGGGAGGGGGATATTTTTTTTAATTGGATGTTGTCTGGAAAATGACAATGGTGCACATAAGCATTGGACATCTATCTGCCTTCACAATGTTATTTTACTCCTATGATCTCCATCTTTAATTCTTCAACACTGCAAGCTGGTACGCCTGGAGTAGGTATGGGACGACATCTATACTCATAAAATCCAAACCCTGTGGAAGAGTAAATGTGATGCATAATATGAATGAAAGGGCACCTATAGTGCTATTCACTGGATTAGAAAATACTAAACAACAATGTGGTTTGTTTAGTTTTTATGTAGCATGTTGCATGAATCCCACTGAAGTTTGCCAAATCATTCACTTATAGTTTAGTATGAATTCAGCCAGTTGGGTGCTATTTAAAAAAGCATGATTAAACAAGTCATAACTTAGCACAATACATGAATCTGTCATGCCCAGAAAATCAGTCATGGAACCTGAGAACATGTGGAGAAGCAAAAGCAATGGAAAAAAAGCCAGCTTTTTACATAAACAAATTTATTAACTATTGTAAGTGCAGGTGACAAATGTAGAGCTATAAGGCATTTGATAGAAAAGCTAATAAAAAGGCTCACCCCTATGTGGTCATCGCTCTAGCCTATCTAGTTTGTTCTTCTGATGGAGCCAATTAAAGTGGCCCCAACCCATTCAGGATTCTCGAGATCATAGCCCACACTTTCTTGTATTTGTTGAAGCAAGACATACATTTGTCAGCAGCTACTTGGTATCAGTTATGCTGCTCAGCAAGCCTTAGCTAGTTGCATAATCATGGCAAGCGCTGTTTGCCTCTCTCTGGGTCTCCACGGTGATGAGCTGAAGGGGGCCAGTAGCAAAGCCAGAGGAGAAAATTAGTAATTAATAGCTGTTATAATCCATAATAGCAAGTAGATTCGAAAGTCAGACGATGATTCTGCAGTCACAACAGGACAGCACAGGGACTGGTAATGTTGGGGGCCAATTCTCTGATGACATTCTTTTGTGCCAACAGACTGAATGTTGACTCTAACATTAAAGAGTACGTTTGAAAGCCACTTGATTAAAATAACACTGCAACTAAGAATTTAATAATTTTTTTACAAATGTATTATTTATTTATTACATTTTAATAATTTTTTACAATTAATTAATTAAATTTGTATGTTGCCCATCTCCCCCAATGGGTGACTCTGGGCGGCTCACAGTTAAAACCAAAGACCCAAGAACCATTAAAAAATGATACCATATAAATGGTTAAAATTAATTAATCAATTAAAATCAGACTATACAAATAACCCTATACATAAATACTGTACTAAAAAATGTTCAAGATGAGGGGGGGTGCTGAATACTGAAAAACTTTCATAAATTTTAACATGTCAGTGTTACGTGTTCCTAGAAAGGAGTAATATATACTTTAATAAATTAAGTGCTGGTATTTTCTTTCCCCGAAAATGAAACTGTTAATTTTGACTCCATAGTTGATTTTTGTTTCGTTGGAGGGGCATAACGACCGGTATTCATAAAAATATGAATAATATATAATTGGTAAAAACCGGGATATTTCTATAAAGATTTTAAAAGAAAAATAATAATAAAATCCTCCATTTTTTTAAAGTTAGAAACCGCGAGGTACCCAATGTATCCCTATATAACACGACTTACAGATAGACAGCATGAGAACAATATGTGGTTTAATTTCTTAAGGGACTACTACTTCCTATACTCTCTGTATCAGATTTGTACTGACTCTACCATCTTTTGCTCCCAGGCCTCTCTGGGAAATGTAGTTTTAAAGTAGACGATTTGAGAACGGGAGGGTATCCCACTGCATGCTAGGAGATGTAGTTCTGCAAACGTTGATGTCGCCCGACGGACGTAATTTCCCGGCAGCCTTTACGGCGCGCCCCGTTCAAAACGGCGGCGGTTGGTTCAGTGCTCTTGTGCGATATCGGTTTTTGAAAGAGGAGGAGTTGCTGCTTTGCAGACGTCTGAGATTCCTCTGGTAGTATAATATGGATTCCAACGTTTACAAGTGCCTTCAGCCTGGGTTATCGATTAATATTCAGCGTAGCAATGGTGAGTGCTGAGAGGGGAAATGCGATTTGCTTTGGAATGTCTTTTTCCTACTTCCGTAGCCTGGGTGTTCTCCGGAGGCTCCGTGAGATTAATGCTCATGCGCTGTAGTTACATTCGTCTTCTTGCAGATTCGTGTGTCTGTGATGTAGAAGGATGGAGGCCAGCCTAAATTCCAGGCTGTTCCCCTCTCCGGGTTCTTCAGGAGGGAAGAGTTGTGCCTCTGCCTTGCCGTCCCCTCAGCTCCTTCTGAGTCAGAGAAGCAACTTATAGGAGGAGTCGGGCCATTCACCCGTTTCGCTCAATGTTACTCGCTGGGGCCGGCTGGCGGGTTGAGCGTGTGCTGAGCGGTTCCTCCACGCGGTTCGCTGCCTGCTGCTTTTAGAAGAACAGCCGTGCAATAATATCAACTGAAAGTTCCACTGACACCACCAAAACATGGCCTATATAACAATATTTAATTTTCTTAATCTTTGGGGTGCATATTGTCTCAGCTAGAGATGATGCTAGTAGTATAGGTGCTCTGGATAACACTAGTAAATGACTGGCTTTTTCACAAGGAGATTCACCATACTGTGGTTAGGAAGAACTGAAAGCAGCCAGATTAGTGTTCTAGATTTCAAGAAAACTGATTTAATAAGCTAAGGGAAAAAGTAGGAAGGATTCCATGGATGGGAATTCTGAAGGGAAAATCAATTTAGGAAAGTTGGGAAATTCCGAAAAATGAAATAATTAAGGCCCAGACACTAACAGTACCAAAGAGAAAGAAAAACGGGAGACTGGTGTGGCTGCATGAAGAGCTTTCTGATAAACTGAGTAACAAAAGGAACAAGTTTAAAAAATGTAACAAAAGCAGAATATCAGGATATAGCCCAAATCTATAAGGATGGGGTCAGAAATGCTAAGACTCAGAATGAGCTGGGGTTTACAATGAATGTCAAAAGTAACAAACAAGGCTTCTTTGAGTATGTGTACAATAAGAGGAAAGTCAAGGAAATAGGCCTTTGGTTGAAGAAGATGGCAAGGTGATAATGACTACAGGAAGAAGGCTGAACTACTTAATTCTTATTTGCATCTGTCCTTTTATAAAAGGAAAAGGTGGGCCAGCCTGTCAGAAGGTGCACCATGGGAGGGCGGAAGAGAAATCAGGCCAAAATAAGGAAGCGATGAGAGAACAACTAGTTTTTTTGAATTCAAGATGGTGGAGCCAGATGGATTACAACTGATAAGTTCTCAGATCTGCTAACTGTAATGTGAGAACCTCTGAAGTACAGGGGAGTGCTAGAAGACTGGAGAAGAGCTGATGTTCCAATCTTTTAAAAAAGTGGACCTAGGAAACGATGCACCGGTCAACTTGACACCAATTTCTGGGAAAAAACTAGAAAAGACAAGCAATGGATTTGCAGGCACTTAGAAAGGAACAGGGTGATTACTAGATAGGTCATGCCAGACTAATCTTACTGTGTTTTTGACAAAATGATTAGTAAGCCATGGGTATGTTGTGGATGTAGAGTACTTAGATTTCAGTAAAAAAATTGATATACAGGTAGTCCCCAGTTTAAGAACAAGTTCTGTTTCCAAAATCTGACCTTAAGTTGAATTTGTACGTAAGCTGAAACAGTATTATTGTATAATACAGTGAAAGTTGTATTGTGCAATTAACTTGAACCATTGTGTATTTAACTTGATTTTTGTTACAGTAAGCTCCCTTCTTAACTGTGGGTCATCTGTAAACCTGGCGTTCTTAACCAGGGGATTATCTTTAATTGACCATAGCCTCCTTGATAAAATGGAACAATGTGGATGATCCCATTTCCAGTTGGATTTGCAGTTGGTTGAACAACTGTACCCTGCTTGTGGGCCTTAATGGATATATGTCTACATGGAGAGAGGCATGCAGTGTAGTACTTCAGGGCTCTGTCCTAGGCCCATTGCTCTTCAATATTTTTGTAAATGACATGGAGTGGAAGGGACGCTCAGCAAATTTGCAGACTATACAAAGCTGGGAGGGATTGCTAATAGCTCAGAAGACAGGCTTAAGACAGGTTAAAAGATCTTGACGGACTTAAACATTGAGCCTTTTCCAATAAAATGCATTTCACTGGCAAGAAATGTAAGGTTCTGCACTTAGGTAGAAAGATTAGATGTACAGGTACAAGACAGGCAGTACCTGGCTTAGCAGTAGTACTTGTGAGAAGGATGTGGGTACCTTGGTAGATCATAGATTAAGCATGAGGCAGCAATTGTTGGAGCTGCCAAAGAGCCAATGCAGTCTTGGGCTGCATCAACAGTGGCATAATGTTGAGATCACAGGTAGTGATAGTTGTGTTCTATGCTGCACTGGTTGGACTGCACCTGGAATACTCTGTCCACTCTTGGTTGCCACAACAAGAAGGATCCCGAGGAACTGGAAAGAGTGCAGAAAAGTGCAGAAAAGTGCAACAAAGATGGTGAGGAACTTGGAAGCTAAATCCTATGAAGAACAGTTGAAAGAACTAGGTATGTTTAACTTAAAGAAGAGAGGAGTTAGAGGGGGGCATGATAGCAGTCTTCCAATACTTGAAGGGCTGTTAGATGAAAGCAGGTGTGAATTTATTCTCCATAGTGCCTGAGGGTAGGACAAGAACCAGTGGGTGGAACCTTTACAGATAGAGCTAAACTTGAAATAAAGAGTAATTTCCTGACTGTAAGAGCTATTCAGCAATGGAACAGTCTGCCTCCTGGAGTAGTGGGTGCTCCATCACTGCAGTTTTCAAACAAAGGTTGGAAAGCTATTTGTCTGAGATGCACTATGGATTCTTGCCTTGGCAGGGGGTTGGACTAAAAAACCTCTAAGGTCTCTTCCAACCCTATGATTCTGTGAAAGAGGTTAGTGATCTGATGAGGTGGTTTTGATAGTGCATGTTGTAATATAAAAGCCAGAGAGAAAACCTTGCTTATATTTCAGAGGTGCTTGAGAGGGCCTACCTATAATTGTTTACTGAAGTATGTCCTGAAAATATTTATTTTTGAATGCATACAAGACCAGTTTATTAGAAACAGTGAATTGTAACATAGTTAAGCATATGTTAATAGCTAGGATAATGATTGCAAGGCAGGCATTTTGGATGGGGCTGCCAAATTGAATTGGAAGATGTTTAATATCTACTGTTTTGATTTCTTAGTTTAGGAAGATCTTAATAAATAGACTCAAAAGGTTGGAGACAGCCCTTAATGTTGGAGATTTAAATTGTTATAAGGGTATTACAGTACAGTACCATCACTTATGTCTGCAATTGATAGCTAGTGCAATTAGCCAACTACAATTTTTCTATGTTTAAAATGTTTATGTCCTAGCTTCTGAATGAAGGACCATGAAGAAGGTTTTAGAATTTTGTAATACAAACTCTGATAGCCCAATTAAACTTTTGGACACAGAATTTTATGATTCCAGAGTAACTGATAATTAAAACAGTGGTTTTTTTTTCCTGGAGGTTGAGAAAGAAAGAATCCAAACAAAAACAAAGCAAAACTATAAGTACTATATTTATAGAATTAACAATCATCATCAAATAGATGAAAGTTAGACATTTGTTAATTGAATTGCTGGTAAACATCTCAATCTGTTTTTCTGGTTTTGTTTTTGATAATAACTTGGGACAACAAATATCAATTTCAGATTACAATACTCTGAATGTTAAAAGATTCTACAGCCAACTCTCTGAAACAGATATTTTTTAGCTTTGGGTATAACAGTCATGTTTTATTTGTAGTTGCTTCCAGCGCAGTTGATAATGACAGGAAATCTTTTGCTATATATAGAATTGGGAATCTGTGCCAGTGCAGTTAAACAATACTTAGGCTGCTATCCTTAAATGCATTTAGGAGCAAATCTCATTGAACTCACTACAGTTTATTTCTGGAGACATACAACATTGTACTTTCAGATGTAATCTACTTTGATATAATTAATTTTGCATATATAAATTGGAAGCTCTTGTCAGAGGAGGCATTCCTTTTCAAAAGCAGTTGGACTTCCCCAGCTACACCTAGGAATCTTGGTTTATAGAACATGTTTTTATTCCAGAAGTGAGGTTAGAGGGGCTGATGCAAGGCTCATAATCAGTTTCTAAAATTTCCAATGAACAATCTAACTGAAGAGGGAAAATATACTGTGGAGAGTCATGCCTTGTAAGATTGTTACTCATAAGAAAGTAAGTTATGGTATACCATTAATACCTAGTTGTTTGGCTATGATGAAAAGTCAGATATGAGCTTGTAGTTCTGTGAACAGATCGGTATTATTTTTTTCAAAAGTAAATGTTTCATATTAGGTAGCCTTTATGGAAATTTCCTCCTCTTGTTTTCTAGCTTTATTAGTACTTCTCTGAAATACCATAAACTTTTTTTTTAATTTTAGGTGCAGTCCATGGTGCAACTATCAAAACTGTGAGTCTGGAAAAAATGACTTTATCTGTAGAATGGACAGAAAACAACAGTCTCAAAGGGAAAGAGGTGAGAACTTGAACGTACGTTCCGTGTATAAAACTACACTATACAGTATAAAGCTATTTAGCACACATTTCTGCCTTAATTCTGGGTTAAAGCCTGTCTCCTGTCTTCTATAAGGTACAAAGGTTTATGTAGAATTAGAATGATTCCAGAAAGAATTATGTAGAATTAAGATGATTCCAGCTGGAAATTATTAAATGTATATCTTAAGGTTACTTTGTCAACAGCTATTATTTTCCCATTCCACAATGGAGTTTTTTTCATTCTTTGTTGGAGACCAACTAAATAGTGGCTTCCCTAAATATGTTGATATTTTCTTACTGGAAACTTTTAATTTCAGTGTATTTTAAGGAAATATACAAAAACAGTGCATTCCTGGGATTGCTTACAAGATAAGGCATACATAAGTGATTTATGTCAAATTAATTTGAGTATGTGTTCTTGCTTAATAACATAAGTATTCTACTGGAGAGACAAAGTCCTTTTAAAAAAAAATAGGTGCAACTTCTAAAACCCCTGGATACAGTCTCCAAAATTCTTTCAAAAGTTGCCATCACATTATAATTTAAATTAAATTAAATTGTTTATTCATTACAATCATCAAGAAGAAAAATAAAAAACATTTAAGCATCACAAAGTACCAATACAGAAATAAATTTTATATATATTTACTTTCAAACAAAATTGAGCAATCTTCTTAAAGATATTTAGCAACATTTTGAGATATTATCAAATTCAAATGGTAAAATTTTAATAAGTACATAAAACATATCTGTCATGATGAATATAATTGTGTTATAACTGTATGTACTGTTGTTTCTAGACTGCCTGTATTGCATGTGTAGTAGCACTAAGCACATGGAATTTTTATGTATCTCCCAACACTGCCATATGTAGAGCATTGTAATGAAGGGGAATTATTAAATTAATTATATTAGTTTTAAATGTAAAAGAAATTAAATCTGTATTTGTCTTGGCTAAATTTACTACATTGTTCTGTTCCTACTTGTTTCAGAAATGCAGCCACTAGCACCTAGTTTGGTCCTTTACCAGAAATAGTTAGGTTCCTTTGTTTACTAGTGTAAGAAGTTAATAAGAGTAACTAGTTCACTAGTTTGCCCACTGTATATTCTCCAATTATTGTAGTATACCTTCTTCTAACTGGTGAATGTCATATAATATAGCAGGTAATCTAAAAGCAAGGGGTTGAGTTATTAAGTTGGCTATTTTAGACTACAGGTCTAATGTAGTATTTGGGAGTTGTTACACTTAGTGCAACAGTGGTTATCATCAGCATAAACATAGCTGTGATTGAGTTAAATATCTTAACATGCATATTAAACAAATGTATGTAAAGCTGCCTATTGACTTGATATAATGTACATATTAAAATCAAAACCTAGTGTTGTATTAAACAGTGGCAATATTTCAGTTTGTGATATAATACCTGTGGAAGCTGAATTGTTATCTGGAATCTCAGATTCATACACTTGCTTTATGGGTGGCTTTGCAGGTCAAGAAAATGACTGTTAGAATATTGCAGCAGTATTAATAGGATTATGATGTCATTCTAAGGTCAAGCAAGTAGACTTGGTGGACATGACATTCACTCTACTTCTGTAAACGCCTAAAACTGTGAAGGAGAAGTCACCCGCAGAGCTTTATTTATTGTTTTTGTCCTGGATAGTGAATATCCTTTTTGTAGTGTCAGTCTTTCTTAAAATTAATATTCAGTAAGTAATAACATTTGCACTGTCTTACAATAAATATTAAGGAATCGTTGGGATGTACTAAGTAGTTACTGCAGATTAAAGCACTTGTGGTCAATAGCTTTCCCAGTATCTTTTGAAATATACTGCCTCCCATGGAACTGTATAAAACCTGAATGGTATTGGTGGACAGGTGGTTTAATATCTTAATATCAGCTCAGCGAAACAATCACTGTACTGCTTATCTTTTAAACTTGCCATGCCAAGCAAATTATTGACTTGAATGGATTGATGATATCTGAGGCTGATGTTTAAACATGTTTTAGATTTTTCATTCTGTTTTGTATGTATTTTTCCCTGTTTGAAGATTGACCTTGATGATGTGCTAGCAATAAATCCAGAACTGTCTACAGCTCCAGTTGTTGCTGATGTAAAAGAGAGCCTTCCAGTTCGGGACAATGTAACCATACAGGTATATTAACCTCAAGTTATTCTTCTGATTCTTGATCAAGCAACATGGTACTTAAAATGTTTATCTTTTAAACAAGGTTTCAAACCTAATGAATTTTTTGCATGTTTAAACATTTCATTATTAAATTCTTGCCTCTCTATTAATGTGTGAAGTTTTAAATACTTGTTACATTGTTAATCCACATTTCAACTCTTTATCAGTGTTTATATTTAATTTTAAAAAATACTTGAAATATATTAGTCATATATGCTCTGAATATAGTGCTGATGATATAGGTACTCATATGCTCCCCAAGAGAAGTTTTCTCTCCCAAGAAGGCACAAGTATATGTCACTATTTTCTACAAATACTGATTGCTGCTTCTTTAATGGCTTGTCTTAATGACAGTTACAGTGGAACCTCGGGTTACGAATTTAATTCGTTCCGTGACTCTGGTCGCACCCCGAATTGGTCACAACCCGAAGGAAATTTCCCCATAAGGTTCAATGTAATTACCGTTAATCCGTGCTGGCGTGGAGGACAGGGAGTCCCCCTCCCTACGACCACGTGTCAGGGGCAGAAAATGGCTGCGGACCACGTGTCAGGGGTGGGAAAATGGCCGCAGACCACGTGTCGGGCGGAAAATGGCTGCGGACCACGTGTCGGGCGGAAAATGGCTGCGGGCCACG